TCCCTCTCCCACTCCCCCTGCTTGTGTTGGCTCTCTGGCTGTGTCTCTCTCTGTCAAATAAATAAATAAAATCTAAAAAAAAAAAAAAGATGGCAAAATCCTAGGACATAAATCCCAACATACTAACTCCTACAGTTAAACAAATGAAAGAAAATGCAGACACCAAACATGTTGTGTTTCTCCTAATTCAGTCGGGTAAAGAAATCCACATAACTTTTTGCGTCCTACCAATAAAATCTTTGTCACTCTGAAAGCAAACAGTCACTATATAAATACAATGCACTGATAACCTGAAAGCAAAATATCCTTAAAGAATCTATTAGAATTAGAACAAGTATTTCCACTAAGGGAGAAAACTAGTATGCATTGAGCATTGTGCTATTTCATCTAAAATTCCTATAAAATGGGGTCACCTGGGTGGCTCAGTCAGTTAAGCGTCCGACTCTTAGCTCAGCTCAGATCTTGATCTTAGGGCCTTGAGTTTAAGCTCTGCACACCCAGTGTGGAACCCACTTTTTAAAAAATTCCATAAAAAACAGGGTGCCTGGGTGGCTCAGTCGGTTAAGCGGCTGCCTTCGGCTCAGGTCATGATCCCAGGGTCCTGGGATCGAGCCCCACACTGGGCTCCCTGCTCGGCGGGAAGCCTGCTTCTCCCTCTCCCACTCCCCCTGCTTGTGTTCCCTCTCTCGCGGTGTCTCGCTCTGTCAAATAAATAAAATCTTAAAAAAAAAAAAAAGATTCCAGGGGCGCCTGGGTGGCTCAGTTGGTTAAGCAACTGCCTTCGGCTCAGGTCATGATCCTGGAGTCCCTGGATCGAGTATCGCATCGGGCTCCCTGCTCAGCAAGGAGCCTGCTTCTCCCTCTAACCCTCCCCCCGTCATGTACTCTCTCTCTCTTTCTCGCTCTCTCAAATAAATAAATCTTTAAAAAATAAAAAAAAAAGATTCCATAAAATTCCTATAAAATGAATATAATCTTCATTTCATAGACAGGTCCTAAGGCTCACAGAAATAATCTGGTTAAAGATATATATATATATATATACACACACACCTCTTCTATGGCACAACTTTGTAATTACAGGGCCATGAGCATTTTTGATGAAGAATCTGATAAGCATAACCTTTCTTACTTTTGTTTTTACATACAATAATGTAGAAATACACAATTGAGAAAACAACTTTGAAACAGTCTCCCCTCTTACAGGGGAGGCCAACAATCAAACTAATGCATCACTCAAAGTACTTAAAGGAGAAATTTCAAGCCTTGTGGATAACAATAGAGTACATATCCAGGGGTGCTGGGCTAGTTGTCTTCCTATGCCCAGTAGTTGCACTGAGCTAATCTTGCCATGGATCAGAGATTCAGGAAGCCACATCTTCCAATGTATCAGCAAAGCCTATGAGCACTCCTTACAATATACTGTGAATCCCTCCACTTCCACTGTTACCATTCTTGTCCAAGCCACTATCATCTGTCACTGGATTTAAAGAGCCTCCAATAGGGGTGGCCTGGGTGGCACAGTCAGTTAAGCATCTGATTCTTGGTTTCAGCTCAGTTCATGATCTCAGCATTGTGAGATGGACCGCCGCATCAGACACCACGCTCAGTACAAAGTCTGCTTGAGATTCCCTCTCCCTCTTGCCCCCCCAACTGTGTGCTCTCTCAAATAAATAAATAGCTTCCAATAGATCTCCCTGCTTCCATTTTTGCCACCCTATAGTCTATTCTCCATACATGAGCTAGAAATATAAACAAATCAGATCTCATTACTCCCATTATAAACAATTATAAAAACCCTTTAATAGCTTTCCAACACAACCGGAATAAACTCTAAATTTCCAGTTCCTACAAGATCTGGCCCCTGCCTACCTGTAAGACTTTATTTCTTTTACTCTTCCCACTTGCTCTTTAGGCTCCAGCCATTCAGGTTTTTTTTGCTGTTCCCTAAAAAAGACAAGCCCATCCCTTACCTATCATCAGACTTCCCTACTAGAACAGTAACGACACAAGCAGGACTATTAACATTTTTGTGATTATTAACACCTGATGTGCTTTCTACTTTCTCGTCAATGATAATTGAGAAAAGTAGATAAGATTCAAAACCAACAGACTTTTTAGTTCCAAACCAATTGTTCGTATTTCTAGGAATAAAGAGATCATAAAACAAACATCATAAAACAAACGAAAAACTTCTTGAGGGAAGGGATTTTTTTTTTAATGTGAGACTTACAGTTTATTTTCTTAAGTAAGCTCTATGCCCAAAGTGGGGTTTGAATTCATGACCCCAAGATCAAGAGTCGCATGCTCTACCAACTGAGCCAGCCAGGCACCCAGAGAGCAGGGACCTTCTTTGTTTTCTTCAGATGTGTCCCAGAACAGCATCTGACATATAGTAGCTATTCAGTAACTACTTGTTCAATGAATGAATGACAAAACTACAACCCAGCTTGGTCATTCTTCTTACCATGCCAAGGAGGAATTCAAAGCCAACCAAAACCACTACCATTTTATGCCCTCACTGCCAGGTAGCCCATCTCACCAAAAAATATTCATCCTCTTCACAGCTCGCTTCTCCATATAGAGTTCCCTCAGACCCAAAGAGAACAAGGAAAGCTGATCAAAAAGTACTAGACCAAGATATTTATCATGGTATCAATTAAGATATTTCTATTTCCGGGACACCTAGGTGGCTCAGTCGGTTAAGGGTCTGCCTTTGGCTCAGGTCATGATCCTGGGGTCCTGGGATCGAGTCCCGCATCGGGCTCCTTGCTTAGCAGGGAACCTGCTTCTTCCTCTGCCTGCCACTCCCCCCTGCTCTCTCTCTCTGACAAATAAAAAAAACTTAAAAAACAAAATAAATTAAAAAAGGATACTTCTATTTCCTTTATTTGTAATTAGTTTAAATATCTAAACAACCCCTGGATGGGCTATTATACCAGCTGTTAACATTGCTCCCAACTAAAGCAATAGGTCTCTGACCCTTCTGGTAAGAGGGAAGCTTGTCCTCTGATCTTCATTCTCTAGCTGGCTCATTTGCTATTGATAAATAGATATACCCGAAGCACAAGCTCTAGATAAACTGTATGATAACCAAACTATCGAAAAAATGAAAACTTAAAGATGAAAAACAGAAGGAGTAAGATGGGAATGGCCCAGAAGTAAAAGAATACGTGTTTAACACAGGGAGTCCATCTCCTTAGGAAATATATCCTCATCTAAAAAAGAAATACCTTGGGAGGCGTTAAGCAGTTAAGTGTCTGCCTTCAGCTCAGGTCATGATCCCAGGGTCCTGGGATCAAGTCCCTCATTGGGCTCCGTCCTCAGTGGGGAGCCTACTTCTCCCTCTGCCTGCCGCTCCCCCTGCTTGTGCTCTCCCCCCCGCCGACAAATAAATACATACTCTTTTAATAAATAAATAAATAAGAAAAAAAGAAATATCTTAGGGCGCCTGGGTGGCTCAGTTGGTTGAGTGTCTGACTCCTGGTTTCGGCTCAGGTCATCGTCTTGGGATTGTGGGATCAAAACTTGTGTCAGGCTCTGTGCTGGGCGTGGAGCCTGCTTGGGGTTTTCTCTCTCTTTACCCCTCCTCCCCCCATCTCTAAAAAAGAAAAAAAGAAAGATCACTTAGAAGTAAAAAAGGAAGTTAGAAGAGTACCTTATGGAGAGAGAAGAAAATAAGACCAGAGAGAAAAGGTATGGAATAAGATAAAGAATTCAAGATTGGTGAAGAGAATCATTAACAGTAATGCACTCACATTTCCCTAGAACTTAACATTAATATATAATAATCTGTCTTCCAAGGGAAAAGGAAAGTAAAAGAAGAGGTTTCTATTTACATACCTTACAAATGTGCTGCAAGACCCACGGCCTGTGTGGCAGAAGTTCTACAAGTGCCTTGAACTTCTCAGATGAAGGGCACTATAAAAATATAAAAATATCAAGAATTATGTCTATTGATTTTACAAGGAAAAAAGCCAAAACATAGGATGTAAACAGGCTTGCCCAAAGTTCCGTGAAGTAATTTAGGATCCAAGAGAGGGAAAAAGTGTAGAATTTAATTTTTGATTGATATACCACCAAATTTATCACATTTATACAAGTTTTAGCTTCCTTCAGTTAATAAAATGCTCACAATCAACATTATCTTGTGAATATTATAATATTGTCCTTTTAAAAGCAAAAAGCAAAAACAAAAGCAAAAGCAAATGAATCCTATGTAAATTAATTTTCCAACATTTTATTATAAAAATTTTCAAACACATAGCGAAGTTAAAAGAATCTTACAATGAACACATCTAATCCTACTACCTAGACTACTATGAACATTTGAATAACTTGCTTTATCTAATTACACATTCTTCTTAATATGGCATTACAGAGAAATTACAGGCTGAAAGGCAACTGTCCAAAAATCAATGGCTTCAAAAACTCAGGGTGAAGGCATTAGGTCAAAGAAAATAATATTCGGAAATCCTTCTGATAGTTTTGTCAGAAATGATCAGTATTAGTTTACTACTGGGATGCCTGGGTGGCTCAGTTGGTTAAGCGTCTGCCTTTGGCTCAGGTCATGATCCCAGCACCCTGGGATCAAGTCCCATATCAGGCCCCTTGCTCAGCGAGGAGTCTGCTTCTCCCTCTGCTGCCGCTCCCCCTGCTTGTGCTAAGAAACAGGTAAATATTAAATATACATATATATTAACTATTTGAAGTCAGAATGGACTCAGATCTACTCCTACTCTTGGAGAGTGATTCTAGTTATTTGTTTAATATCAGATCATATCATTCTCCTGCTAACAAACATCTAACGAGGGGCGCCTCGGTGGCTCAGTTGGTTAAACATCTGCCTTCGGCTCAGGTCATGATCCCAGGGTCCTGGGATCAAGTCCTGGGATCAAGCCCTGCGTCTCGTTGGGCTCTCTGCTCAGCGGGGAGCCTGTTTCTCCCTCTCCCTGCTGCTCCCCCAGCTGGAGCCTGCTTCTCCCTCTCCCTGCTGCTCCCCCAGCTTGTGTGCTCTCGCTCTCAAATAAATAAAATCAATCTTTAAAAATCTAATGATTTCTCATTTCAGAACAAACCCAAAGAACTTCCCATATCCTAACGGCCCTACAGGTTTTCGTCCCTACCCACCTCTCTAATTTCATTTTACCTTCCACTTCTCCCTTTACTCCACTCCAAACATTTTGGTTGCTTATGTTCTCCTCTTTCCCTTCACGTGAATAGTAAAACACTATTATAAACATGCTTAAACATATTTACTTTATCCACCCTCTTCATTAAAAAAAAAAGCTCAATTTGGGACAAACTGCAAATTGGCTGCAATGTAACAGAATGTATCTCATATTTTGACCATTATTACCTATAAAATGTTAACCAGGATCATCTGGAGGAAGCGCCAATAAATTCAGACCAACACCCAGAATGAGCAGCGTCAATGCCTATCTGATTTTCTGTCACATGACTACCATAATTATGAGTATACAAGGCCTTCACTTAATACTACAGCACCACAGATTAAAAATGAGTCATTTGAAATAGAAACACTTGAAATAGGAATTTTACAGTAATTACTAACTTTAAACTGTCTTGGAAATTTTAATTTATTAATCTCGTAAGTACTTAACAGTGAGCATATCCCCAAAGAGCACATATAGTAAGACACGTTAACACATGTTTAAAATTTAGTTACATTAAAGCGTAGGTGCAGGCAAACTAAGTTCCACTGGCCAGGAATAAAGGATAAACTAAGTGGTAGGGGAAGGAAAATAACTTTTAGGTACCTTTTACAAGTACAAATATATGTGATTAAAATCCAGTGATTATGTACCATTTATCATTATCACTAGTGCAATTAAACCCAAAGTGCTGTCTATAGAAGCTCAGCAAGCCCAAATTAGTTCTCTTAGAAGCTGAAATATCGGGGCGCCTGGGTGGCTCAGCTGGTTACGCATCTGCCTTCGGCTCAGGTCATGATCCCAGGGTCCTGGGATCGAGCCCCACATCGGGTTCCTTGCTTGTCAGGGAACGTGCTTCTCCCTCTCCCTGTACCGTTCCCCCTGCTTGTGCTCTCTCGCTCTATCAAATAAATAAAATTTTAGAAAAAAAAAAAGTTGAAATATCAGTCTTTCTTCCGACAGAGTTAACATAAATAAATCTCTCAGCTCTAGAACAACTAAGAAGTCCCGAAGTAGCAACTCCTCCCGTCACTGCTTGAACTCTACTTCATGGACAGGAAACACCTCAAGATATACCTGTTTTCATTCTCCTAATAAGAATCAGGACTAGGAGAACATTCCAACAAACTACCACCATACACACATATACACAGGGAATTGTTGACTTGATATGTGTTTCTCTCCATCCCACCTCAAATCAATAGGCAGAAGAGCCCTCAGTCACATGATAACATCTTAGCCCGACCTAATTATGTTGGATTTGGAACAGGGGAGTCTGGGCCTCCCTTTGGAAGAAGTTGTTTCCTCAAGAAGACCCAAACACCCAGGGGCCCCTGGCTGGTGCAGTCAGTTAAGTATCTGACTCTTGGTTTCGGCTCAATCATAATCTCAGGGTCGTGGGATCGAGCCCCGAGTGAGCCCGGAGCTCAGGGAGGAGTCTGCTAGGTTTCTCTCTCCCTGTCCCTCCACCCCTTCCCACACTCACTCACTCCTCTCAAATGGATAAATAAATCTTTTTTTTTTTTAAAGATTTTATTTATTTATTTGAGAGAGAGAGAGAGAGAGAACACATGAGAGGGGATAGGGTCAGAGGACGAAGCAGACTCCCTGCCGAGCAGGGAGCCCAATGCGGGACTCAATCCAAGGACTCCAGGATCATGACCTGAGCCGAAGACAGTCGCTCAACCAACTGAGCCACCCAGGCGCCCTGGATAAATAAATCTTAAAAAAAACCAAAAAAACAAAAAACACCAAACACCTAAAGCTAAAATTAAGCCAACCAGGGACCCTATATATTCATTTATGTATTTCAATCAACTGCTGCAGGACCATTCAGTTTCATGGAGGAGAATGTTGTGAAGCTAAAGAACTGAAATTTGTTTAGAAAATGAATTTTTCAAATTTTCATAACATATATAAAATCAGTAATACATAAAAGGAGAAAACACTGGAAATAAGTCCTGAATTTTACCTAACTCTAAACAAGGTGTTTTAGAGTACAAGGAGAATACCTTAAAAGAGAAAACAGTTCTGGCCTGCACCTAACTAGAAAAATGACCTTAGGAAATTTACATAAGTCTCTGGGACTCAGTTTCCTCATCTGCAAATGGGGTTGGACCATATAAGTCCTGAAGATTCCTTCTGGGTCTAAAATTCTTGATCTATGAAAAAGTTGGTGGATTCCTGTTCTCTTCTTCCCTCCAGTACAGATTTTTATGAGAACAGAAACCGTAACTCTAGCACTAGACTCTGACTTAAAGCAAGTTTTCTTCTATTTTGTTAGGTCCCCAAGAGCCACCACTGCTCTACAAAAGTAGATGGAACTACTCTCCAGACAATTTATCAAAAGAGATCTTTAAGTAAATTATCCTTCACAATTAGGAATTAGTCTTGTACTTTCAGGTCACTTGCGCCCAATGCTCCAACCAGTATCTCTACCAACTTAGCCATATCTAAAGTGACAATCATGCAATGGTATATACATGTTACACATCTGGATATCTGACACTGAGTGAAAAATTCTCACCACATATAACATTTTTAAGAATTTTTTAAAAGTATTTTTTCCCTTCAGATCTGGGAGGGAGGACTATAATCTGACCGCACACCTGCAAGAAACATTTTCTTCAAAGACAAAAACACAAAAAGAAGCAAACAAGTCACGAATATTGGTAAAAATTTTAAATCAGGACCCTTAAAAAACACAAGTGAAACCAACTGTGAGGCAAAAAGGATGCCAATTTTACACCATAAACTACTAAACATTGTTTTGACCAATTCGATTTGCGTGCAAACAGTGCTATTTAATAAAGACGGCTTGTTAACTGGGTTCAATCGGTAACTAAGGACAGCTGTTTAGGTGATTCCTATCAAGGTAGTAACTTAGACTAAGCAAAATTCCAAATTAATGTTCTATTTCAATGCAACACAGTTTAAATCATGAAAAAAAATGTTTTCAACTGGAAAACTCCCTTTCCAATACCCAAGAATCCTAACCCGTAAGATTTCAACACTACTTAACTTACACAATCTCCGAGAATACTGCATTTAAAAAGAAAATCTACCCAAAACATAACTGGACTTCACCCTGTATAAAACGGTGATTCATGTTTCATATTCAATGTAAAAGCCAAAATGGAGTTGTAAAGAGTTTCTTTCCCATTTCAACTCTCAACAGCCACGCGCGCTTCGCCGGGGCCGGCTGCACGGCGCGGTCGCCGGGCCCGGCTCGAAGCCCCCGCCCTGCCCGGCACAGCCGTGAGAGAGGAAGAGCCGGGGACCGCGAGCGGGCGGCTTGGGCTCCACCAGGCCTGGCCGGGCGGGGGAAGGGGCGCGGG